ACAAGAAATACTAAGAGAAATCCTTACAGAAAGACAGCAAAGGAAAGTAGGTGGAATGAAACAACAGAAACACAGCAAAAAGTCAGTGGTAAAACTTGACCTGTTAATAATCACACTTGATGTGAATTGATTAAATGCATCAATTAGGAGAAAAAGACCATCAGAACTGATTTATTAAATGATTTATGGCTACTGGTATTTTCTTCCTATACCACTAATGATTAGATTACCAAAAGCAGAAAAAGTATAACTAATACGCAAGAAGTATGTTTACTAATCACCTCAAAGGGAATGAAATACTATTTTAAGTAATTCTTGCTTTGAAACATGTTTACAAATGTTTATAAATGATTAAGAATAATTTGAGGACTAACCTACCTTTAGTGCATAACTCTTCTTCAAAAAGTTATATGTCTTTTGTCTTTTCCCTCAACAGAAATACAGCTAAATTTTTTCTAAAATAACACATTAAGACAATCAATTTAGGAAGATAATTCACTTTGTTTCTTTTTGAAAGTCATGACCAATTATTGCTACATATAGAGTTTGACAAATGAGCTGAATACTTAAACATAGCTAATTAAGATGTTTTAAATGTGCTAAGAGGATTCTATTGATGAAATAATTAGAAAATCAGATTTCAACATATTTGATCCTATGGGTCACACTTTATTAATAAAATGTTTATTTTTCCAATTAACTTGTCATAATTTTATTACAAAGTTTTCTGACTGAACTAATTATGATTATGAATTTCCATAGATAAGTTAATTGGAATTTTGCCAAAATGACTCTAACTGAAAGTCTCAACACAGAGAATAGAAACAGATCTCAGAAAGGTTTTGAAAATAATTATATACAATAATTTAGAAACATTAAACATATAAGCAAAAAATAAAATTACATTAGTCATCACTGTGAGAAATTTACAGTGAGACTGGGGTAGTATCCACGACCACCCTTGCCCTAAAATACATATACATACACACACAAACACAAATATATATATTTGTTATAATATCAGTGTAGTTAGTTTTTTATGTTTTTTTAAACTGTCACTATTTTTTATTAGTTAATAATCTAATTACTAATGTGAATCAGCTTATGGATAGATTTTAGTGCAATAGATTTAAAATATATGCTCAATTATGGCTTTAGTGATTACTTTTCTTTATATATAAAATCACTAAACAATAGCAGTTCTAGTTCTTATCTTTAATCTGAATATTCTATAATAAACATGAAGATTCAATTTCTTTTCAAAATTTCTTGTTTTTGTGTACTATAGAGTCAGAAGTGACCCACAGCAGACCCTCCAGTGGGTTTTTAACTCCAGAAGGAAGTTAATCACATGGGAGTAGATTGCCCATCCGTCTCCCATGGAGCAGCTGGTGGTCTTGGGATTACAGTGAAGCTTCTTGCCACTAAGTTACCAGAGATCCAAGTTGAAATATATTTTTTAAAATTTACCCACCAGAGTGTGGGAATTTCTGAACAATAACACTAATATCACCAGTAAACAAGATCTTGCTTGATTATTCATAAATTCCTGGAATAGTATGTCAGCTGAGAACTGCCAGAGGTGCAGGAGGGATTTGGAAGATGCCTTGGCACTAGTGACAGTATAGACAATGTTACATAAATCTTGGCTGAGAGCAGAAGGTACCAGAAGAATATCCATGTTTCATTGACTATGAAAATACATTTGACTGTGTGGATCACAGAAAATGGTGGATAATCTTGAGAAGAATGGGTATCTAGAACATTTAACTGTGCCCGTTTGAAATCTATACTTGGACCAGAAAGCAGTAGTCAGAACAGATCAGGGAAATACTGCATGATTCCAGATCACGAAAGGTGTGAGTGAAAGAGATGATTTGGATGAAATGATGTATCCTATCTCCATCCATTTTCTATCTATATGCAGAACAGATCATTTGGAAGGCTAGATTTTATGAGGAGTAATATGGCATCAGGATTGGAGAAAGAGTCATCAACAAACCATGTCATGCAGATGACACAATCTGTTTACTGAAACTGAGAAGGACATGAACAATTTGCTGTAGAAGGTCAAGGACTATCATCTTCAATATAGATTGACATTTAACATCAAAAAACCAAAGATTTTTACCATTGGACAGCTTCATGATGGATGGAGAAAAGATTGAGATTGTTATAAACTTCAGCTTGTTTGGTTCCACAATCCACACACTCCTGGCACTAGTAGCCAGGGAATCAAAAGAATTACATTGGGAAAGTGTGCTGTCAGAGACCTCTTTAGAATATTGAAGAGCAATGATGTTAGTCTGGAGACTAAGGTGTGCCTGATCCAGGCTATGACCTTTGCAATTAAGTGCTATGCATCCAAGAGCTGGACAATAACTAAAGATTGTAGAAGAACAGTTGATGTTTTGATTTGTGGTGCTGGGGAACAAACAGGTCTGTCCGAGAGGAAGTGAAACAAGGCTGCTCCCTGGAGGCAAAAATTTTTAATCTTCATTGCACATATTCTGAGTATATGGCCAGGAGGGACCAGTCCTTGGAGAAGGACATCATGCTTAGAAAGGTGAAGGGACAGTGCAGGAGAGGAAGACCCAGGATAGATCAATTGACTCAGTCACTGGAGAAATGGGATTAAGTCTGCCGGAGATGATGGGATTGGCTCGGGATAGGGTTGGTTTCAGAATTAATGTGCACAGGGCTTTTATGAGTTCTAGGTGAGTCAATGGCACAAAACAACAACAGTCAGTGATTTCACTTATCATTTCAATTTTGTAGGTCTTTTAAGATCTTATTCAATGTTTGGTCTATGTCATATGAATTTAATAAGCAATTTATTGGGCCTTTGTTTATAATAGTAACTGCAGTATAAAATAGTGAAGACATGCAATCTAACTTAGTGCTTAGTAGCTAATTTTAATTTCTGAACAATCTTACTTAATTTGCTATGGCATATGTATAGATATATAGATGATATATAGATATATAGATAGATAGATGTATAGATATATAGATAGATAGATAGATAGACATATAGATATATAGACATATAGACATATAGACATATAGACATATAGACATATAGATATATATCACACAATGATAAACAAATTCCAAACTTTAAGAAGGCTAGAAATTAAGTATTATCATAAAAAAAAGAAAAAAATTAACAGTACTATAAATAAATGCTGATATTTAAACACTGCTATTTGGAGTTCTGATGTCCTAAGAAAAGGCACTGTAATCCCAAAGGCATATGATTCAAATCCACTGGTGAGAAAAAAGGCGAGCAATCTCCTCCAGTGTGGTTTACTGCACTTGAGGGTCAGTCATATGTTGGTTCTGACTCAACAGTATTCAACAATAACAACACTGGCATAGTCAAGGGAGCTCTGGTGACCTACTGGTAAGGTGATGCACTGCAAACTCAAAAGCACACAGTTCAAATTCACCAGCCCCTCTGCAGAGAGGATGGCCAATCTCATGTCAGAAAATGCACTACAAGATCACCTGTGATTTGAGTCCAACTCAGTAGCACGTAACAACAACAGCAGTGGCATAGTCAATAGAGAACTGCACTATAACCCAAAAGTCATGTCTCACTAGCCATTTGAATCCACCAATACGTCCACAGGAGAATGACTGGTAATCTCTTGCTTTGCAATCTAGAGCTTCAGGGGATAAAAGTCAGTTATAAACTGGCTCCAACTCCACAGCAGTGAGTCGAGCCTATACATAAATGGAACCCAGGTAGAGCAGTGTATAACAAATAAGACTGCTAATCAAAAGGCTGGCTGTTTAAACTAATTTCTCAGGTGAGAAAATGGTCCGCCTCTGCTCAGGAAGAGTTAACGCCTCAGAAACTCAGTGAAGGGTCACTGTGAGTCAAAACCAACTTAACAGCAGTGAGTTGAGTTGCTGTTAGGTGCCATCAAGTTAACTACAACTCACAGTGGCCCTACAAACCACAGATCTACACCGTGCCCTATCCTGTGCCATCAGCATCATCTCTGTCACATTGTCCGTCCATTTCACGGAATCTCTTCCCTTCCTCCTCCGATCTTTCACTTTTATTAGTGTAATAGTGGGTTGTTGTTGTTGTGTATCGTCGAGTCTGAATTGACCAATAGCTGACTCTCCGGTGGGTTTTTAGAACAGTTAATCGCATGGGAGGAGATTGTCCATCTTTTTCTTGTGGAGCATCTGGTGGTATCAAATCATGTGCCTTTGGGACTGCAGCACATCTTCTTGCCACTAGGCCACCAGAACCCCCTTATAATAGTAGGTAGTCTACATAAAAGAAAGACTGTCCATGAGATGGTATGGCCTAGTGGATACAACAGCAGTGTCAAGCCAGTAGCAATGATGAGGAAGGAGAAGAAAGAAGAAATCAGAGCAGGTTTCCTTCTGTTATCCACAGAGATCATTATGTATAGAGCTGTTATTATAGTGTCTAAAAACAGCCTACAGAAAGATTCTGGATGAAGAAGATAGTGGTGAAAGCCCAGAAAAGTCTACAAGTAAAGCATATCAAACTCAGCAAGAATCCAGTTTGGGATAGTTTGCTTTGTCTAATTCAGAAAACAGCAGCATTAGTAATAAAGGAGGAATAAAAATCTGAGGGGAAAATAAACCACACTATTTAAAAATTGGAAAGTTAAAATAAGGAGTAAATTTAATAATAACCTGAACTAAGAAAAAAAATAATTTGCCTTCTTAGGACTGATTTTTACAAAGACTATATTGGAAGTCATATTCATTGCAAGCAAATATCTCTGGAAATATTTACTCAATTTACTATAAATTTACTATAAATTGTGGTGATCAGGAAGCATGTGACTCACAAAGGAGTTTTCTACTAATTCCAATGGTATTTCAGCCCTAAATTTACCAGAAGTGCAATGTAAACATCACAAATAAAGAAAAGAAAGCCAGGCATACCTAGAGAGCTTTCCAAACAATATGAAAATGCATGAAGTAATTAATTATTCATTACTTACAAAAGTTGTGTTTTCCAATAATAACGTGGTGGCATTTGTTTCGATGTTCAGTTTAATGACATGTCCATTTTCACTTTTATACACCACATCTGTATCTGCAACAACAAAAACATTAACATTTGACAAATACATTAACTAGTTAATATAATACCTGCAGAGGAGAAAATGTGCATAATAAAGAGACACATTAGAACAATCATTAGCCTTTGACAACATGAGCAGGTTTTTGTGCTTGGTTCCTGTTAATCCTCTTGAATGATCAGGGAACCAAGGTAACACGTGGTCTATTGAGCAATGAAAGCAGAGTTAGTGAAAAGGCCATTCAAATTCCTAGTGTAACAAATGAGAATTAATTAAAATATGAGCAGTCTGCTGCCCATTCAGAGATGAGAGGAAAAGGACAAAAGAAAGATTCTGGGCTCCAGAGTAAGCTGTTACTGATGAATGATCTAATGTTTTCACTTATAACAAAGGCTGCCAGTTGGTCACAATTCTACACAATTCAAGGGTTACTCAAATTGAACCCCACTCCTACAGACTCATTTATTTAGTCTTTCCATCACTGCTCAATTATGGTTTTGGTCCTCTTTTTCCTTTGAGTTGAGAATGTTATCTCTGGTATTTTATATGGCTTTCAAAAGGACACATCAAAACCTCTGAGGCTCTGTCAACTTTAAGAGAATATTACCTTCATTTATAAATAACTTCAGTATTTCGGGACAACAACTGATTTACAAATTGTTTTACTTAAATTCAGGCACAGTTGTCAGACAATTAAATAGTTTTAAGAATATTCTGAATGCCTAGTGGGTAAGGAGTTGTGTTGCCAACCAAAAAAGCAGATGGTTCAAGTCTACCAGCTGCTCCAAGGGCCACAGATGAGCAATCTCTTCAAGGACCATTTATCTATCACCTCCAAAAACCCATTGAGAGGTCAGCTGTGAGTCAGTTCTGACTCAACTGCACTGAGTTGTTATTTTGTGAGAATACTTCAGACTGGAAATATTATCGTGCTGAATAATTGTTACAAAAGTTGTTGCTGTGTACCGTCAAGACAGAATTGACCTGTAGTTGACCCTCTAATAGGTTTTCAGAGGCAGTATCACAAAGAAAGAGATTGCCCATCGTTCTCCTGCATAGTAGCTGGCAGTTTCAAACTGCGCTCCTCCGGGATTGCAGTACAGATTCTTAGCACTAGGTCACCGGACTCTTTGTCAAAGAGGATACACTTTTAAAAAACAATTGTCAAGAAGGCTTCACTTATGGAAACTGTCAAAATGAGTTGTGAAGTCTTAAGTATATGCATGTGTGGGGTTGGGGTTTTTTAAAAGTTAATGATAAACTTCTTTAATATTTTACTCAATTCTACATTTCCAAGGAACTCTTGCAGTGTGGCACATCATATATCAGCTTCTAAGCGAAGGCTGGCATCAAATCCACCAGCTTCTCCTAGTGAGAAAGATGGGCTATCTGCTCCCACAGAGTTCACAGCTTTGGAAGCCTGATGGAGACAATGAGCTGGACTAGACTTCATGCCAGGGGGCTGGAGTGTCTGTTTTTGTTAAGCCTCTTCCTCTGGGGAAAAGATACTTAAAGAACTCAAGTGTTAATCTAAACACTGGTAGGGCAAACTTGTCAATTCATCAAAGAGAGAAAAACTGGCAACCTGTTTCCATAATGACAGTCTTGGGAAGTAAGGAGTAGTTAGTTCTATCATAACCTCGAGGGCAACTATAAGCTGTAGCAATTCAATAGCAGTGGGTTAATACCTCACTTATGCTCTGAAGAAAGGCAAAATTTGAGGGAATTGGGCCCAGAAGAATATCATGTTTGAAAGGATAGAGGGTCAGTATATGAAGCAATACCGTGGATGGGATTGACACAGCCACCATGGCAATGGGCCAGGTATGTGCTGGAGATGGTGAGATTGGCTTAGGATAGGGCAGGGTTCAGAGCTATTGTTCATAAGGTCACTATGAGTTGCAGTTGAGTTGAGAACACATAAGAACAACAACAAAGTCTGAGTATGTTCACATATAAAAAACCCGTAAGGAGACAGGAGATAAGCATTTAACTTAATGAAAACTCCCATGTGTCCAATGATGTTACGTTAATTTGGCATTACTTGAAAAAACTGAACAGAAACTTATTCAAAAAAAATTCTTAATCATAATCAGGCATTTCCTGCCTTCTTTACTTGTAAACATGAATATAGTTCCAAGTCTTCTCTTGCACAAAACCACTGTCATTTACCTCATTCTGGCTCATGTCAGCTTTCTATGGTGTTTCAGAGGCTGTGAATCTATATGTGAAGAGACGGTCCACATCAATACTAAATGAGAACTGTATTCATTTGTTCTAACTTACCTACAAATTGGACTTAACATTTAAAAGATGTTTTGTTTATAATCTAGGGACTACCTGCATCCCAAGAAGGGTAGGTAGTGATGAAAATGAACTTCAATAATACCTGATAATTTTGATAGACCAGAATTTTCTGACCACTGTTTTTGGCATAAGTTGTGCTGACTGTAAACTAAAAGTATTTTAAAAGGCAGCAGATGGACCCCACCAGGGCCTCCTCAAGAGAATGATAAGACATTTGATTTCCATAAAGAAATTAGAAGTTCAACTCTTCCACAGAGTACTCTAGAAAAT